TTTTTCCCCCCATATTTAATGTTCCTTTCAATGTCAACCGTTGCACGCTCAAAGGGGACAGCTCTCATCCTGTTCCGAAATTTAACTAGCTGGCAAAGTTTTTGAGTGCCAAGTGCGGCTTGGGGCTCGTCAGGGAATGGGTTTGTGGTTGGAGTTGGATATTCGGAGGCCATAAATCAGTTGCTGAGTGCAGTTCTGGGTAAAAATGCTTATATGGCATATGGTCACATGACCATGAACTGTCGCTCTAGTTAGTCGTAACGTTCTCTGGCTTTTTCACTAAGGCACGATACGGTGCTTTGAACTCGGCAGTATAATTACTGGTATATATTTAAGGTTTCTTCTTGAATTCCTTAGCCATTTTTTTTTTGGGTGTTCGAACAGCGCACAACAATGACGACACCTTCTGACGTGGACAGCGTGTTCACATTTTGATAGGATATGCAATTAACATATTTACGACGTGCCACTAATGACGACAGCCAATAATCAAAATCAGTTTTAAGATAATGCTGGGGTTGAACAGCTAAGAATGTATTTTGTAGTAGACCCAAGTTACTAGTTAGTATTGAATGTTTTTAAGTTATTGAGCTTAAGAGAGAAGAAGGGGAATGCTTTTGTTCCACTGTGCTCAACTGCATTTTGCTGTTTCTTTGACAAAATTATTCAATTGTTTTAGTAAATATCGCTCTGGTTGTTAGCTAATTAAGTAGCTAATTAGTTGGCTAATGCTAGAGTCACGGTTTTTGGCCCACTGTGCAACTCCATTGCACTTAAGTCCATAAGCCCAAATTAGCCTGGTGTCCTGCATGGCATGTGAATGTTGTCTGCTGTTTTCATGCCCGCCTCTGGGAAAAGAGTGGGCGGTGCCGCTGTATTACGAGTGTTTCAGCATTGTGTGTATCAACAAATAGGCATATTAGAGAAAGACAAACAATTGGTGCCGTGGGGAGAAATCAATAAATGAACTGAACTGAACTGAACCGCTGAGCGGAGCCGAGCGGAGCTGAGCTGAGCTGAGCTCACAGCGCGTGCGAGTAATCAAAATGACATTTGTTGCGGTCACAACGATGGCGCAGTAAAGTATGCTATAAGTTTCTTCAGTGCCCATCGATGGGCGACAGACATACATTTGATTTGCGCAAATCAGCGACCTAATCGCCAATGAAATGTTAATTGGATCAACATGTAAAAGTCGCCGGGAGATGTCATGGGCTGGATATGCGCTAAGCTGACGTTGCAATCAATCAAAAAACACATATCACACCCGGCCATACAAATTAAAAATGACATCTCGCATCTTAATAAAGTTTAATTAATTTTAGGGCAGCAGCCGTAACAGATTGTGGGCGTGACAAGAGCTGAGCAGTCATGGCAACAATCATCAGTTTACCTCACAAACGACAAGCGGCGCAATAAATTCCAATTAAGTCAAGTGAACGGCAACTCAAAGCTGCCACACAAATGAGGTGCCAAATGGAGGCACAACAAATACTACCTAAGGTCAAAACAGTTGGCATTCACATACATATATGTCTGCCTAACTGCCTGCCTGCCTGCCTGCCTGCATTTGGTCTTGTTAGTTGGCCGGAGCAAATAATTTATTTGCAATTATGTTGATTATTCACCCTTGACCAGGCTTTTGGTTTGTAACGATTCAAATTTGGAGCAAGTCTATGTACAATATTAATGAACGACTGTTACCATTCAGATTAGTGGTACAATTTTCCCGGAACTACTTACCAAATTCAATTTATGGGCTAAGGGGCGCACTGAAAGCATTTCAAAATTCATTAAAAGCATTGATTGATAAGTTTATTTAGGATTTCGCTTTAGTTTTAATACCATTACCAGATTGAGGATAGTTTTTGATATGACATTTTTTCCTAATAAATTAGTTTGATATACCTTGAGGTGGAGATCCTGAAACTTCACTCTCATTAGGTACATTCGTATATATATTCATATGTTAGCGCCTACGCCTAACTAGTGTTTGCCTGATCAGCCCGATTATTGCCGCACTAGCGCACATCGAATTTGCCATTCATCCTTCGGCGCCTTTTGGAGGACTCTGAGCAGCTTTCAATGGCCACTTCAGCAAGGGCAGGTTTTGACGCTGAGCACCGTTTGCCAGCATCGCAAATATTTTTCGGGAAAAACGAGCATACTTCAGTTCGAGTATATGCGATGAGTAGGTGGATAGGGAGGAGCAGGGGGATCTTTGCCCGGAGGACTCTGGGCAAATCAGAAATGTCAATATTTCCAGTTGAGCGCTGCAAAACAAGCGGCTTGAAAAAGCGCAGAGCAACGACATTTTTGCCGGAAACTAATTTAAGAAAATTATACGAATGCGTGCGCCTTGGTCTGCGGAGGCAACTGTTTCATTTCTGGACTTTTGTGTGGACACCGCACACGGAATGGGCAACACTGTCTGAGGCGCAGATAGCAACCCGATTTGCTATTTGAAGCGGAAGTGACCCTTGAAGTTTGATTTTATTTGTCCGGCGTTGCCATTGGCAAACAGATTTAAGCCAGCAACCTCTCTCTCATCTCTCCTCCTTCCATGTGCAGATATTTGTTTGTATGTATTTATTTACTTATTTATTTGTTGCTGCTCAATTTTTAATCAACGGCTTTGGCTTCTTGGCAGCGCCACGTACATTTTATACAATTTCCTGTTTGGCTGTAGCTAAAAGTCAAATAGCAAAAAGCAAAGCAGAATACAAAAAAAAAAAATAAATAAATAGAAAAAATGGAATAAAGAAAAAGAAATCTAACTCGGCTGGTTGTCTATTTTTAGGTGGCATCCAACAGAATTCAATGTCAAAGACAGTTGCAAGCAGCAGAGTGGGCATCAGGAGGCATGTCTAAGGGATGCGAAGAGTGCTCGAGTCTGAGAGTTCGGTGAATGAATGCCAATTGCAAAAGGCGCTCGTGGCGGAAGTCCGTAAAATTGACATCAAGTACCAACTTGAACATAAATAGTTAAGACACGTCCTAAAATGCAGCAAGCATTTTGATAGTTATCAACCGGATCAGAATTGCAAAACTGAATATACACATTTATAGCATACTTATGTGCGATACAAAAAATAAAAAATTAAAATGTATTATTTATATTTTGAATAGAATTGAATACAATATAAGTTTCCTAGCCTGAGTTATCTAACTCATTGACTAGGTAACCGATTAAAATGTTGGGTATGTTTAATAGTAATGCAAGTTCATATATTCTTTACTTCCTAAATTTAAAATAAGAAGTCGAAGTCTTCAAAATGAAAACCTAACTGATCACCGATTGGACCATGGTTGGATTTTGTTTAAATAATTCATGTATTTAATCTTTACTTGCTCTGAAAATAAAAAGTTTACTAAAGACATGTGCTTTCAAACATTTTTACTTGAAATTATAGCAAATCTTATGGACAATATATAATTTAATTTTATATTTGTATATTCATAATTGAAATCTGGTTATAAGGTATAAATCATTATAAATATTATAGATTTTTAGATCGCAGGTAAAATGCTCTTATCGATAAATTCGGTGGAAAGTCGGAAAATGTTGCGCTGTACATGCGACGAGCCCAAATGTTCAAATGAGTGGCCAGCAAAGGTGTCAAAGCCAGAGACAATAGAACCATGCAGCAGCAGCACAAATACACACAGATACACACACACAAGCAGCGCTTCGTACCCTTACATCGTGCTGTTGCTTACGTCACAAATTTGCGTAGGCGTCATCATCGTGTGACTGCGGCGCACCCACTGCCTCGTCTTGCCCGTCGTAAGTCCTACTTGTCGTCGTTGCCGTTGTCGTCGTCGATGCTCATTGAAAAGAGCGCAAAAGAGCCACCGACGTCGCCGCCAGTCAGGCGGTAAGGTCTCCACGCCGTATACTTGATGATGATTTCCCCAACTGTTTGGGGCGCTGTTTGCTCAATGAAACTCGTAACTTCGATTTTTTGTTGTTGACGTAGTCGCCGTCAGTTGTTAAGTGCGCCGGCGCCAAACAGAATCATCTGTTGTTGTCTCCCTACTGCCACTCCCTCCATCCCGCGTCCGGCCCCCTCCCCTTGCCAAACTGCCTGCCTGCCAGCCTGCCTGCCTGCCTTGGCCCAGCCAATGCATTTCGCTTGTGGTAGGACAGCTTATAAGCTGCTACTGGGCACACGATACAAGAGACACTGGGTATGGGAATGGAAAACAACGGCGCTGCTCAGCTCGCTCAGCTGTTTGCTTGTAGAATTTCTTGAATGTGTAGAGTTTTGTGCAACAAATTGTGTATTAAAGCCGGCTTTTTATCCATGGGGGTCTATATGGCTATAATGGTATGGGTTCAAACACAAAGTGCTTCTATATATATTTCAACATTAGTGTTGTATATATTATGCTCGTATAAATTTGAATACCAATAAGAGAAGCACGAAATATATTTGATTTTTAATTGTCTGCACTTTTTTTAATAATATTTTTTGTACAGTAGATATTTATTCAATTCAATATTTTTATATTTACCTGTTCTTATAATAAAAAATAATGTATCTTCTATATATTTTGTTTGGTAGCCTTACGGAAATTTTGAAACTCTACAAAAATACTATTGCAATGTGAAGGCACCGAAAACAATCAAACTACAATAGCTTCAAAAAAAACCTGCTCATTCACATTGTGCGATGCTAGCTGAATTTCATCTGGCATTAAAACTATATTATAATTTGTTCTGCTCGCTCGTAAAACGTAAAAGCCACAGACATCGTGACGACAACAGTTGCGGACCAAACAAAACTAGCCATGGCACAGGCACAGGCACCTGCCCCAAAACCCGAACCCACCCTCCGATGATGAATTTCAGAAGAGGCACACACACACACACACACATACACATGCGAAATCACTAACAGAAACGGAACCAGCAGCAGCAGCAGCAGCAGCAGCAGCACAAGAAGAAGCAGCAACAGCAGCAGTAGCAGCAGCAGCCGTCGATGACGATGATCCTTTTGCATAGTATAAGTACGAGTATAACTATGAATATAATCGTAGTTTCTCCTTCATTCATGGTATGCTTGACTCGCCATTGCTTCCATTCGGGTTTCCATTTCGTAGTTGCCTGCAATTCATGTAATTTTGCTGTTGTCTTGTTTTGCTTTTTACAACTCTCGCAAATGTGTGGGCGTCATCGTTGTTCGAAGTCGATTGTTCGAAAGAGGGGCATGCAACAAGGGGTAACAAGGTGCTTGTATAACTAGAATGACAGAAGTTTCTCGGATGTGCAAGATGCATTTCAGGATGATGAATCGAATTGATTTGTGGACAGGGCTTATGACCAGATATTCCCTAGCGATTCTTATTGATATTACATCTTATTTATAGCATTCATTCACTTAAATTTTGTGCTGTTAAGAGAAAAGTGAGATTACTTTTAGTATGATATAGTTTCCTCTTCAACAACTTGAGCTGTTGTATAAAAAACACGCTGGTGCAATAAATCAGTTGTCTTATTCAGAAAATAAACCTTATTTGTGATTCGCAGGGTTTTTTCTATCGTTCGCTTCAGTTTACTAAATATTGTGAAATTCCCTTAAACAGTCATGCAATATTCTATAGAGAATGGCGTCAATTACTTGCTGCTCTTTCACACATATTGCGTCAATTACTAATTTTGGCAGGACTTTCCCTTGACATGTGCCTGGTCAGTTAATTATCTATTTAATAACATCAATTTGTGGTTTAACCAAGCTAAATCAATTTTGCAGTAAACCATGAAATCTGGTCACCGGACTGTTGTTGACAGTGAACAATGGGAAATGGATAAAGCAGAAAAAGCACACTTCGCTGCTGCTAATAGGAAAATCCTATTAACATTGGGAACCAGCCAGTGCGAAAATTCGAAGAAATAGGGGAAATAAAAGGGACATCAGATGAGAGATGCCGGCAAAATAGGCGAACTGTGTCTGTGTGCGTGTTCTCTCTCTCGCTCTCTCTCTCTCTCTCTCTCTTTCTCTCTCTGTCTTTTACTATCTCGCTCTCCAACGCTATCTCTCACTCTGTCTCTCTCTCTGGTTTGTCCCCTCTTGGGGTCGGGCTCTCTCTCTGTCCAGTGTTCCATTGCTCTCAGATGGTCTGGTGAAAACTCTACACATGACGCAGCGACGCTGACTGCTGAGACTTCGGCTTATTGGCATCGGTGTTCGGTTGTGGTCTCGGCTTTGGGATTCGGCTGCAGCTTCAGCTTTGGCTTTGGCTTGAAAACAAGTGGTTGAGCGTGCGGCCTGCTCAGTATTGAGCGAACAAACGTAAATGTCGTTTCGTGCTCGTTGCCCGTTGACTGAGTATAAGCGCACAGGAAGCAGCAGTCGCAGCAGCAGCAGCAGCAGCCGTAGCAGCAGCAGCAACAGCCAGAAGCAGTAGCAGGACGCAGCAGCCAGCGGCCAGGACGATACAAGTGAAATTCGAGGCACGGGCGACAACAACAACAACAACAACAACAACTAGCAGCGAATTGTCCCGAAACGAATGCACAACGAACCTCGCACGACGACTAGAAACGACACAAAACTCACACACACACACACACAGACACACACACACACACACACATAGACACATGAAGTCAGGCGGCACAGCTATAAAGTTGAAATACGAAACGCCTTGAGAAGAGCAGCGTCGACGTCGCAGCCTGTGACGGCAACAGCAACAGCAGCAGCAGCAGCAGCAGCGACAGCGGCAGCGACCGCGTCAGGCGGCCCAAGCCAAAAGGCAGACAAACAGGCAAAACCTGCTGAGACGATACGACGAGTCCTTGCTCGTCGGTTCATACGTGCGGAACACTGAAAAGAGACACACTAGCTAAAGTTATTCACACCAAATAAAAAGACTCCACACACCAAAAATACATTCAACAATAACAAAAACAACAACAACAATAACAATAACAACAACAAAACACAAGTATAATAACAACAACAACAAGCAATCAAGTGAAATTCGTGAATTAAATACAAGTTTTTAAAGTGCAAACTTATTTCCCCCCTACCAAAATAAATAAAAATAAAAATATATTACCAAAAAAAATATTTCTTAAAAATTTTCGAAAAATTTTCAAAGCATAAAAAATAAACTAAACAGCAAAAGTCGTGCAAAATTTGTGAAACAAATATAAAAAATTTAAATAAAATATACATAAAACTAAAACAGAAGTGCCGCAGCTGAGCGCTAAGCAAAAAAGTGCTAACAAGTTCCTTCAATAAAACAAAAAAATATATAAAAATAAAAATATATATACAACAATAAAAATAAAAAAAACAAATACAAATATTGTTATAACTATAAACCAAATATACAAATTATACACAATACAAGATTTCTTTGAATTTTTTCTAAAAAAAAAACAAAACAAAAAGAATTAAAATCACAGTGAAGAAACAGCGAAAAGAAATAGTAGAAAATACGGAGTAAAGTTCGAAAAGAAAACCCAAGTGCCGTGCGTTCAAATTGTTCTCTAGCCTTAGACTAGCTGCATGCCGCTATTCTATCTAGAAGAGCATTAAACATCCAATTTGGCAAGCGAGCGCGACAGAATCCAGAATCCAGAACCCAACGGGAAGCTATAAACACAGCAAGCGGTCAAAGCAACGATTTTTAGGCAGCCGCAAGCGACTTCCGTGCCAGCAGCAGCAGCAGCAGCAGCAGCAAGTGGAGAGAGTAACCGTAAAGTAAAGCCAAAGTGCCGACGGCAAAGATTTTCATATATATATATATATATATCTATATATACTTCATACATACATATGTGCATAGGAGTGTATAAGTGTGTGTATATATATATAGATTAGATAGGCAGCAACTAGTGTTAGAGTCGGTGTCGCGAGTGTGTCTGTCTGGTGCAACTCCCTCGACAAAGGCCAACAAAGTTCAAACAAACAATACACGGCCAGACACTTCAGTTGAGGAAAGTAGACAATTGATTATTGATTTTGTCTAAAGGCAACTTCACCAAAGCCAGTGTTGTGCAGTGACAGGCGCTACAGTTGCGCACAGTGTTGTGCAGCGAGTATGAAGACTTACAAGCGCTAAGCACACATAAAACCAAACGCAAAAAAAAAAAACACAAAAACAAAATAAAACTGCAAGTGAAAACAAGAAAGACTCGACTAAACACACACAACAACTCCCACAGACACACACACACACACACACACACTCTCTCTCTCTCTCGCTCTCTCTGTCTCTCTGTCTGTCCCTTAACCCACTCGCAGTCGCAGTCGTACTCTTTGGCTCTGTTAGGTGCACACAGACTAGCCGCCAACATAAGCCGTCTAATTGATAAACTGCGCCAAAGCAACAAAAAGAAAATGTTCTTCTCGCTCGCACAGACGCTCGTCTGCGTGTTGCTCATCAATGGCGGCCTCTATGCACTCCATTTGAGCGGCAACAGCGAGAAGTCACCGATCTCCAATTCGGGATCAGCAGCGAGCTTAGCCTCCAACTCGGGCTCGCCAATGGTCAGTGGCGCCTCGGGCGGCTGGCAGCCGCAACAGCAGCAGCAGCTGCTTCATCAACATACCGGAGGCGGAGCGCCACCTGGCGGTGGGTCTGGTCATGGTCATCGATCCATGTCGGACTCACATCGTTCGGCGGCAGCGGCTGCTTTCGATGCGACTACGGGCCGCTTGAATAAGGAGATTGCGGACATGGCGCAACTGGAGCGAGAGCGTCTAATGCTGCTCGGTCTGGCCAAGCAGACGGCCGAGAGTCCCGATGCGCCGCCCGGACATCATGGCAGGCCAATCATTGCGGGACGCGTACAAATGCAGCCCAGCGAGGATCTCGATGTCGGTGATTATCCGGCGCTGTTGCAGCAGGCCGCCAGAGGCTTTATGTTTGGCAGCGTACACAAGCAACCGCCACCGCCACCGCTGGCTGCCAATGCCCAGGATTACGAGGAGTTGCGTGAGTTTGGACGTCGTCCAGTCAAATATGATTATGGACGTGAGGTGCAGCCACCGGAACCGCATGAGCTGGACAGTGAGACATTGTATGAGCCACTGCATGGCTTTGGTGACTTTGATGATTTCTCCGAGCTGGAGTCTAATCCAGAGGACACGCATGTGGGCGAGGATGAGCTGTTGCGCGAGCTGGATGCCTATCAGTATCATGGCCTGGAAGAGGATGCTGCAATGCAGCTGCCAGAGAATCCCTATCGCACACTGGAGCAGCTCGAACTCGGTGCACCGGAGACTCTGCAACAGCTCTTCGAGCATCAGGAGCAGCCAGCCAAATCGAATCCCAAGGTACATGTACCCATGGGCAACTACAACATACGCATGCAGCAAAAGTGGGCCAGAAAGCGTTCACAGACACCGAAGCAACAACAACAACAACAACCGACACTTCAGCGCAACATTTTTGGCCAACATTTTAAACAGCAACGCGGCAAATTGGCTCTGGCCAATTCCGAAGCCACCGCCAGCAAGCACCTGAAGGCATCCGCACGTTCCGGCAGCTCAAGCTCGGCCAAGATTGAAAAATCCATACAGGATGAAAATGGCGACAATGTAGCAAATCACCAGCAGCAGCAGCAAGCTAAAGAATCATCTGCAGCTGCAGCAGCAGCAGCAGCAGCAGGAACTGTTGTTGGCAAAGCAGAGCAGCAACAGTTGTCGCAGAAATCGTCACAGCAGGAACAGAACAAAAAGGATTCGGATCAGCAGTTGACGCATCCCAATCACAAGAGATCGGGCAATGCTGGTGGCTCTCTGGGAGGCTATGCGGCGCCTCCAGTTACCCACAGCATTGCCAGCCAACTGATGCTGCGCAGTCAGCGCGGCCAGCGGCAATATGATGTGCCACAAATCGGTGAGTGATTTTGATAAGCCATAATGCTATATACAGTATTCATAACAATTAAGTATCAATTTCATAATCAGCTGTCCACAAGTAAAAAGTTACACGATAAGCTTTTACAGCAGAGTCCATATTTTTGGAAGAGCCTCAGTCTTAGCTCGAGATCTGAGCTGATCTGCTTGACCCAAATAAATATACTTCTGCTACTTTTCTACCCTTAATATAATAAAACAATCCTATATCCTAATTTAGCTTCAAATCCCAACCGTGAAGAACAACAATATAATATAAATATTGTGGTCCCTGGCGTTTTTCCTAATTATAAGCACCCAAACCATGTTACTAGAATTGTATGTAGCTAATTTTATACGTTGCCTGACTATTTGTTCGCTGGCAATTGTAGTTCTTGGGTTAGTCGGTTAGCTTTTAACCCCTAACGTACATACATATATATGTTTCGACTATATTTCGGTTACAATTCACTTGATTCAGTTATTAGGTTTTATGACTTATTTTTATTTTGGGTCGGGCCCACCCCATTAGTGGAGTCCCCAAGGGCAGACGCTAATCGCTCCATTAGCGCTCTATTTTTATGCCAAAATTTATATCTTTGTTTTCATTTGGCCCCCTTTCTGTTGCTGTAGTGCACACATATATACACGAATATATATATATATATATATGTATGGATGTATATGTATGTCGCATTGCATAATTCATAGTTCAAAGACTTGTGGATGTTCGATGAGTGTATGTGTGTGAGGTGTTGGTGCAATGCGTTGGCGTCGCTTGGAATTTAATCCTTTTAGCCCGGTCAGAAGCCAGCTAGCGCCGTCATCTCATCAATCAAGAATCAGCCATCATTTAATAGATTGTCACTAAATCATTTGTAAACAAGATGGTCGATGTGCACGGACAAAGTTTCTTGTGTGGATCGAATCGCGAGAATATCTACAGATATATATATATTTTACAAATGTTCGCTTTTAATTGGCAACGGCTGTTTTTCGTCTATATTTAGAAAACACAAACGGCCAACTTTTTGGCCATTGCATTTAGCAAATTAGTCGCATTGTCTGTGGACAATTTTCACGAGTTTTCATTGCTCTCCTCTGTGGAACTTTTGACAAGGTCTGGCAACTTTGCGACATTCCGCTGGCGGTTAATCATTTTGCTGGCGTTGTCGCCTTTTGCTAAATTACTTTACAGCCACTTTTGATGGTCGCCAAGTTAACTGGTGTGGGGTCTAAAACTAGTTACCAGGCCGACTCTGCTCCCCATGTAATCAATTTTAATTTTTAATTATCACTTTCAAGTTTAATGACATAAATTTTATGGCCATTGTGACACTCTCAGACACACTCACAAAAACATTCTTATGTCATCTTGAGCCAAATCTTGGCAAAATTGTTCTCATCGTTCAGCGCACTGATGCATTTATAATTAATTGAGCAACAGTTTCGCTTAGAAGTTTTTCAACTTGTTATACTTCCAGATTTGCCATTAAAAAGTTATATAAAATTATGTTTTCTTGCTACGAAAAATAAATATATTTAATATATTTGAAGTCTTATGAGCTCAGAACGAATTAAGAATGCTAATATAAAATATATTTTTCAAAAATTCGTTAAATTATATTATTTTATTAAATTTTAATTATTTCCATTTTTCCAATTCAATAAGATTAATTATGTTTGATTTTTCTAAAAATACGTTTTTTCTTGTTCTAATTTATTAAAATTATTCTACATACACAATAATATAAAATTTAGTAAGTGTGGCTTATAATTAGCTCAGTTAAATGTAATACAAAGTAAACGTTTTGATCTGCCTGTTAAAGGCAATAAGAATTTACAGCACTCGTAAATCTATTACACAATCAAATTTGATTACAACTTTTATTAATACTCATTCAGATATGGCAGACACTTTTATTCCGATATCTGCTTAAATTTGAATCTGATGAAATAAAGTAAATGGCTATAAGCTTTATTCAAATGGCATTTTCTGATGTCGAAGGCAGAGGGAACCAGGAACTTTTGGTTTGTTATGGTGAAACGCAAATTCAATCAAGACAATCAATGAATTTTCATTTTAAGCGCATGTTTGCGTAGTTTCTTCTTTTTTTTTTCGTATTGTTAACGCATTTGTTTTTGTTATTGTTGTTGTTGTTGCTGTTGCTGTGCCAATTGTCACCCACGCTTTTCAATGGAAATTTCTTGTGTGTATTGTACGCACAATAGCCGATTCGGTGGCGGCGTTAAGGGAAAACTTCGACAGCACACCGGCCCATATTTCCTCTGCTTGCCTGTGTGTGTGCTTGCATTTGTGTGTGTGTGTGTGTGTGTGTGTGTGAGGTGTGTGTGCGTTTGTGTGTGCGTGTGTGTGTCTGTGTGTTTGTGCTTGTGCGTCAAGCAACATGTGTGTGCTGCTGGCCTATTGACAACGCAATAACGTCATCAACTGTCATCGAACATTGTTGTTTCACACTTTCTGCAGTAGTTGGGCAAATTACAATTGCTATTTCAAGTGTTTACATTGAAATTGATCGCACACTCAAAAAAACAAATGCTCTAGAATTGAGTACATTCAATAAATTTGGGGTTGATCATTAGAGCCAAGTATTTTAACTGTTCAAATATTTTTGGTATTCGTTCGGAATCATTTCTATAAAAAAAGAGCACGAAATAGAAAACATTTTAGTGAATATTTTTTTTCTGAGTGCATATCCGTACGCATTCGCATGCCCACACAGATAGGGACACATTTGCTGATGCAGCGCGGCATTTGCCGCCGGCGACGCCGTTGCGGTGTGAACTGTGGCTGCAGGACTTCTGCCACTGACCATGTCCTGCATGTGCATGTGTGTTTGTGTGTGCTTGTGTGAGTGTGTGTGTGTGTGTGTCTTTGTGGGAAAGTGCCTGCAACACAGTGGCTAGCAAACAGCTTCCTCATTGCCGCATTATCATTTTTTCCATGGAAAAAACTGTGCGGCATTTGTGTGATGAACGCTTTTTTATATCACTACACCACTTATACTCACTTACACACTCACCACACACACGCACACACACACATACACAATTTATGATCCTTGATGTATGTGTGTTTTTCCCACTAATTTAGTAACAACACCCCAGGGGGTGCCTGCCGGCGACCATCAGCTGCCGCTTCGACGGACACAACACTCATTTATATAGCCGCAGTTTGACATGTCCTCGCTGCGCGGGCGGTGAAGTCCTTGCTGTGCTCACGCCTTTGGTTTTCACTTTTGTTGATTTAATTTGTAATTCGAGTAACAACTTCGAGTGGCCACTCGGCGAGAACACACAACTACTTTACATCTGGGACGCGCCTTCTTCTTCGACTGTCTGTTAAATATTACGCAAATTAGTTGGAACGTTATTGGAGTCCACTCTCTCTCTCACTCTGTCTCTGTCTATCTCGCTCTGTCTCGTTCGTTTCCTCTGTGTGTATCAATGAGTGTGCGTTTGTGTGTGCGAGTGTGGGATACGTCAGCGGTGTCCTGTCATGTGCGTGGGCTGCTGCAGCCGCGCTGTCTGCGAACTGTGGAAAATTTCTTAAGTCGGTGACGAGAACAGGACATCGACGACAGGCTGTCTGCAGGCCTTCTGATTCAAATAGTTTCCTGAGCCCTTAAAAATGTGTGCCTGTTTGTCTGTGAGAGTCAAAAAGAGAGTGAGTGTGTTTGTTTCTCAAGATTCGAACATTGATATGCAAAGGCGGGGCAAATGAATTTTTATTGATAAATTACAAGTATATTGCATTTAAATAATACGAAAAGTTGACTTAAAACTATATGAAATACAATCAATAATTTAAGGCAATTCAGTGTGTTTACAAAACCCACATTCACAATCGCATCTGAAACTGCAATAAACTGGTTAAAACTCAACAAATGTTAACATGCAATTCAAATTTGGAAATTTAACATAAAATTCAAATTAAAGTTATACATTTTATGATATAAAATGAAAAGAGTCTAAATGAATACGAAATGCAAAAGAAAATCGCCATAACTATGAGGCAGCATACTCGAGTAACTTGCAAGTTAAAGTTCTCAATGCATTCTTGAAGACCTCAGTTGTAGTCATGGAAATAATATCGTAAAAGAATTCCATCAAATAATTTACTTATATATTATTGCTTAGTTCAATCGAACTGTACTCGTATATATATACTCAAGCATTTATTTGCGTATATATTTAAGCAATGGCATTTTATTTTTGGGTCTGTCCTTTGCAGCCCCATGACCCACAAAAATTATTTTTCTCTTTTCTTAATTTCAATACATGTACACTTTTTATTTTTATTTTATTTATTTTTTTTTTGCGTCTATACGTTGCTTTTATTGCTGTTATGTGCGCTACCCAAAATGAAAAGGGACACATTTGACATTTGCTCAGTAGTTGGACATGAAATGGTTCCTTTTTTGTTTTTTGTCAAGGTTTCCTATTACTCCAAGGCTGAATTTTCGGGTGCCCACCCAGATGACAAAATGTTCTTTTCTTGGCTATAGTTAGTGTTTGCTGCTAGCATAGTGTCCTGTCAGTGTCGGCATGTCCTGCCGACTTTTTGCCCTGTGGCAGTACCAACTAATTAGCCGCAACTCAATTTGCATAAGCAAATGCGGGGCGTTTGCACTGAGCTGAAAGTAAATGAACTGTAAGCGACGGCATCGCCCACGTCACACGTCCCACCATACGTGTGTGTGTGTCTGTGCGTGTATGTGTATGTGTGTGTGTGTGTGTGTATGCGATAGAATGCGATGTGATGACGCGTCAGGCTAGCAAATTCGTTAATGAACGAGTGGAAATGTTACGAATTAACAATCTTCAGATACCCTGCAAAAGTTGTCGGTGAATATTCGGGAGAGTTAAAAATATTGGATTTGTAGATAAACCTTTAGAAAAATGTATACTATTTAGGATTAAAAGCATAATTGTTACACAATTTTGTAAATTATGGTATGTTTTCAAGGGTTATTCAAT